CTCTCTTCACATTCAAAGCAATCGGCAGGCACAACGCGTCCTTCCGTCGCTCGCATCGCTGGCGTCGCACTCGGCGGCTGGTCATATTTCTTCCGTCGCCGCAATGTTGAGTGCGCCGCAGTTGATGAGTGTCATGGAGCCGCTTTATGGCGATGAGGATCCGCTCCTTTGCGCGGCATCGATCGCGTGTCACCGCGGCTGCCTTACCTCTCTCGCGAATTTATGGTGTATGCCTTTGAGGACCATAGTGTGCACACTAGATAATAAACTGCAACATGCTTTCTTAAGCACCATATCGACTGTTGATTTGGGTGTGAGGGAGGGGAGCGGGGGGAGGGCATTGTTCGTGGTGAGATGATGTGTCACATGACACGCAAACAAATACACAGAGAGAAGGAAAGAGGGAAGTGCATATGTTCTTCTTCCTACCCTCTTATTCCGTCTACTGACTCACAGAAACAAAAGGGAAAAAAGGTGAATTAACGGTACCTATATAGATATATAAAAAGGTGTTTGTATAGTTTTGGGGAAAAGGAACTTGGAGGCGTTACATTAAACAAGATGAATAAGAAGGGGGGGAAAGAAAACGGTGGGGAAATATATTTCTATGAAAGATGGAGTTGCGGGTAGTGAATGACCGTTGAAGGTGAAACCGGAACTTGCCTATTCCCCCTTTCCGTTTGTAAGTCGGATGGTTCCTCATAGGGAAAGGTAGGTGGTGAAAAATAAGGAAGGAAAGAGAGAGAGGGAGAGAGAGGAAGAGGAAGCGAAGAAGGGGTCATGAGTTAATTTAGAGCATATATTGTTTCCCATTTTTCTGTTGGGTGGGTTGCTTTCCCACGATGGAGGCATGAGGGAACAGAGGGAGAAATGCAAGAAACATCTGGTTTTCTCCATCTATCCCTATCTTTCTATGTGTTTATTTTTATTTATGGCGACTTCTCCACGCATTGTGAGGTAAAATATAATTTGAGTGAGGGAGGTGGGGAGACCGTGCGCCACCGGCCAATAATTCAAATGTTATTTTACTTCTGTTGGCCTCTTTTTTTTTTTTTTTTCCAGTGGAGACAAAAGCAAAAGAACAAGCCTTTTTTCTCTTTTTTTCTTTGTGTGTGTGTGTGCGTAGAGACTTTAAAAAAAAAAATTTATTGTGTGTTCTCTGTCGGTGTATATTTTCTTTTATTTTTGAAAGGGAGTGAAGGAAGAGTCTGTTAAGCACAAGTTTTCTATTTGTGTCTCTCTCGCTGTGTGTGTGTGTGCGTGTGCGTCATGCTTTTTGCTGTGGAGTCGAGGCCCAGCACTGGTGCCGTGGATAGCCTCACCACCGCGGACGAGCTCAACACGACTGGAAATACACTCACTCAACTGCAGAACTTCTTCGAACAGCACGCCTTCGACACATGTGGGCCGTATTCGGATCTTTTTTCCGTCTTGCTCTCCTGTTGCAAACATCTTGTCGACACGAATCTACACCACCATGCAGCTCTCTTAAAACAGCGACGAGAGGTCACTCGCCTGGCCTCCGAGACGGAGGCACTGTATGACGTGACGGCTCGCTGTCAGGAAGGTATTCATGAGCTAAAATTGTCGTCGCTGGAGCCTCACTTCTTGGGGCAGAAGAAGAAAAGCCCATTGCGGTCAGAAGTTGTCTCACCTCACGCATCCCGTGAAAGGGATGAAAAAATCATTTGGGATCGATTGGAGGAACTTCATGGGCATATCCACGAAACTCGGGCGGCCGTGGTTGAGTTGCGCCGCCGACAGAAAGAAATTGAAGGGCGTTTACTTGAAGAACGCCGTCAGAAAGAGGAAGGATGTGAGCGAGTGCGAAATTTAGAGGAAATTGTGGATGGGATGATGCGTGGAATCTCGGCACATTCCGAGCGCGTTGACAGGGAATTCGCAACACTGAAGGATCTTTTAGCCGCTGCCGCTTCTTCCTCCTGCCCAGTAGAGCAAGTCTCTGAAATAAAGCAGTATACCGACAAAAAAGTGGGATCATTGAGAAACGAGTTGTTTACGGCACTGCAGGAAACTTATTTGGAAAACGACATGATTGACGCAAAGTTGCCAACTAGTCAATCATCCAAAGGCTGCGCACCTGTTGTGGCATCAAATGCGATAAGGATAAGGGACAGCAGTGATGGTAAAACTGACGCACGTCATGATACTTTTGCCTCTGGCTCTCGCCGGCTTGTGCCACGAACGTCAAGGTCGATTTTTACACGAATAGAAGAGCTGGAAAGTCGGTTAGAAGCCATTGAGGTTTATGCGCCACATCGCTGTGCCATGGCCGCTCGTCCTCCCTTGCTGGGGGTTGAACTGCGCGATGAGAAGGGCGTTGGGGTTCGTATAGTCAAAGTCTTCCATGGTTTTGGCGGTGAAGCTGCTGGAATGATGCCAGGCGATGTTGTGGTCGCCGTAAGTGGTCAAGAGGTGTTGACACGGGCAGAGATGTACGCTGTCATGACAGAATTTGTTAGGGAACATCAGTCTAGATGCCGTCTCTTGAAGGAATTGTACTTCAAACAGCACGTCCAGCTGAAAAAAAATGCCAGTGGTCTAATGAGTACACACCATGATTCCAGTCTCCCCGTTATTGGTGAAGAGGCTCGAGCAAACTCCGACCTCGATAGTTGCTGGGAAATTCTGCGGTTGGAACTGAAGTTTCATCTGAAACGTGGCGACCTTCTGTGCGAGGTGGGTGTTGCCGTTGAAGCCAATGAAGACGGTATTTAAAAAAAACATGAAAGGAGAAAGGTGGCGGTGGTGGGTGAGGTGATGCCAAAAGGTGTGCGATGAGCGGCGAGAGAGTAGGTTGAATGGGAGTGAAGAGACTTACGTTATTTTTTTAAGCGAACGTCGTATGCTTTTTTGTAATATTATCCGACAATTTCTCTGCCCGAGTACATTGTGTTTGTGTTTGCCGCTTTTTTCTGTGCTGTTTTGTTTTTTTGATCCTATTTTGGCCGTATTTCCTCTGTGATTTGAATGTTTCTGTTTTTTTTTTTTTTGTCACGGGACATCGCTGCTGTTTGGTGGTGATGACCTTCCTTCCTCATCCCTTTCTCTCTTGCTGCGCATGACAAACGCTCTGGGGCAACGGCGCATTTAATTTCCTTCCTTTTTCCTCTTTATCTCGTGTGCATGCAAACTTCCGTGTGTAGCTTTGTTTATCTTTTTTTTCTATTTTATTATTATTATTATTATTATTCCTTTAGTTTTGACAACTGCCTTGTATCTGCCACGAACTAACGTGACACTTTTAACATCCAAATAAACTAAATGCGGCGACGGCTTGGTAATTTTATCGCTCCCCTCACAGTAAATTCTGTCAGAGCCCACGTTGTTGAGGAACGCAGCGACCATCACCACCATGATCACGGTCACCATCATCGGCAGTTGGAGTCTGCAGTAAAGGGACATCAACTGCAGCAATGCCAGATTGTCACTGTTGTCGGTGGAGCCACCAATGTTTTTTTCTCCTTAACTAAAATGTGGGTCGGCATGAGAGGCGGTTCGGTGGCGCTGGTTGCAGATGGTTTTCATGCCCTCGTTGACCTTCTTGCAGATGTAATATCGTATGTTACGCTAACGCTTTCAGTGAAGCGTCTTCCTCGGTGTCGTTTTCCATTTGGTATTGGTCGAATTGAAACCGCCGGTGCCGTTGTGGTAGCCTTTACTTTACTCTTGGGAGGCTTGACGCTCCTCTTTCAATCATTGGGTGAATGCCAGCGGGAGTTCCTTTACCGCATTCCTGGGAACAATAACGCAAATTATCCTCATGAACATGTCCACCACGATTATGGTCATTCAGATGATGACGAGAAGCAACCGGACGTTGTTGGTGTGCAGAATCACCATGGCCACTCCCACTTTCAGGTCACGCAACTTGATGAAGATGGTCGAGTGACGATTCTGTGGACAATGGTGCTGGTGTCAATTGTCTCTATTATTGCAAAGGAGTTCCTATTCCAGTGGACAAAGCGCGTAGGTGAGCGAGCTGGATCACGAGTTGTTGTGGCGAATGCGTATCACCACCGCGCTGACGCATGGTCTGGTGCAGTGGCACTTGTTGGGGTGGGAGGGCACTGTTTTGGCATGCCAGGAATTGACGGGTTAGCTGGCCTGTGTGTCTCTTATAGCATCTGTCGCATGGGGTACGGTCTACTGCGCAGTAGCTTACTTGAGTTCTTTGACTTTCAATGCGCCAACGAGGTGGCTTCAGTGCGGCATGCACTGAAGCAATATAAAAAGACACCCTTTGTTAACGCATTTCTTATTCGCCATGGTCACTCGTACGCGCTGCATGTCACTCTCCTTGTTGAGGCCGAAATGACGGCGTCATCGGTCGTCGCTGTCGCATCAGAACTCACTGCCCTTGCCAAGCAGAGCGTTGCGGTGAGGGACACATACGCGACACTTTTCATCTATGAAAAAGATAAAGAGGCATCTTTGCATGAAGCTCTGGAAATGGTGCGGGAATTTCACGGTCTGGAGCCCATAAAGTGCCGTTGGGAAGCGAAGGAAATTATCACTCAGCAAAGTTTGTGCGGTGAGTGTATTGAAGATATAAACACTGTGGCATCCGCTTTTTCTGCGGTCGTCATCCGTTCAGAAGGGAATTCCCAAAGTTCAAAAAGAAACGGGACGTGTCACCGATAAAAAGGTGGCGTGTCGGAAACAATGAAAGAAAACAAAGAGTAAAGATGAGCTCTCTATTTTTACGAATGAATGACCCACGAGGTTTTGAACAATTGTTATTTTGCAGTAGATGCGTGGTTGAATGTGTGTGGTCGCGTGAGCCGACGCCTCTTCATGGAATGTTTTTGCAAGTAATATGTTGATTTTCTCTCTTTCTTTGTTTGTTTGATTTGGTTTGGTTTCTTTTTTCCTTTTTTTTATGTGTTTTTTGTATCTGCGTGTGTACGTGCGCGCGCCCCGCCTGCTGCCGCTGCTTCTGAGAGTAAAACTCCCCTGTGCTCGTCTTATTCAGGACGATGGATGATGACTTTGACAACTTTGGTGGGGACTTTGACTTGGACGAGAACGAGTTTCTTGAGGATGCTGCGAATGACCCGTCCGATGCGGCAGAGTTTGACTACACGCTCTTCTCTTCCGCCCACAACGTATCGCGCCCCAACGATGACAATGACAATACCAATAGCGAGGAGGTAAGAGCCGCAACACCGCCTAACATTCAGGAGCTCTTCCCCAATGCTGCGCCTGACACAATGCCCGTGATTGTTGGTATCATCGCGCAGGCAAAACTTGGTGTGGGAGTGGATCTTTGCGCCCTGAGTTGTGCGACACGGAATGTGGAGTTCGTCCCACGCAATCGAACTCCCGCGGCGACGATGCGACTGCATGAACCCACTGCAGTAGTACTGGTCCGAACATCCGGTTTCATGTCTATCATTGGGGCTGCTAGTGTCGGTGAGGCAAAACAAGCTACCGAACTTGCTGCGCGCATCATTCGAAAGGCGCTTTCTCTCGACATCACCACCGTCCAATTCCGCGTGCGTTCTGTCACCGCGCGGTTTGATGTTGGTCACCCAATCCGTCTGGAAGAACTGGCCCAACACGAAGGCATCTTTTGCAGCTATGAACCCGATAGATTCAGTGGATGCATTGTTCGTCTGGCAGGGAAGTCGCACGACAACCAGTGGCAGGTGAGTTGCACAGTGTTCGTTACGGGTAAAGTCAGTATACTTGGAGCCCGTAGCCAGAAGGAACTGCAGGATGCATTTTACACACTGTTGCCCATTCTTGCACAATACGCAAAGAAGTGAGACGCCAAGGCCACATATGAATTTCATCCGAGTGTTGAATTATTTTGTTCTGTGAATGTAAGTGGTATACAAGAAATGATGACAGGAAAAGATAATAAAAAAAGAGAGAGAGAGAGTGGGATGGAGAGAGATGAGATGAGCATCACCACCCAAACAAGAAGCAGAATTAATAGAAATAGTGCGGAGCATTTTACCAGTTTTTCTTCTGGGCTTGGAACAGTAGAAAAGCCACTAACTTTTCGTAGTGGGACGATGCTGCGCACGATGTTCTCCAGAAGGCTGTTGGAAATAGGTTTCCAGCACCCGCAACTTTCACGGCGGTATGTACGGTCTTTATAATAAACGGCGGAAGAGACAAGAGACAACACACCAGCACAATTCCTCTTTTGAAGTGCACTTCTCGTAATTTTTTATTTTGCGGATTTGGTATTTTACGGATTCTCGGTAACGACGGATTGTTGCGCCACATCGCGCAGGCCCGGGGGCGGATGCGTAAAGTGTGTGTGTGTGTGTGTGTGTGTGTGTGTGTGTTTCGCATCCTCCAGTTGGCGATGGGGGGGCGACCGGCAAAATGTATTGTAGTTGCCAAAGACGAGAGAAAAGAAAAAAGCAACGGGACAAATGGTATGTTACTTACTCTCACAATTGTACTTCTTTTTCCCTCCTTTTTTTTTCTATTATTTACTTCCCCGATTGCAGAGTTGTGCAAAGGAGAAAAATCTTCCATGTCGCAATCGCGGTGGGAACGCAAAATCCAGGTCAGGGAATATCATTACACACACACGCAGCCGCAATGGTCCGATGCCACCCCATTGGTGTCGAGGTTTCCCGTGGCATTAACTCGCACATGTGCTTTGTGCAGACGGAAAAAGGAATTGTGCAAATGTCGTGTTTGTTTTAATTGTCAAAAAACAATGGGTATACGAAGGCATCACTGCCGAAAGTGCTGGCAAGCCGTTTGTCCTGATTGTCGGGAAAGAATGCGTTATGTGCACATGTTAAGTGAACCCATGAAGGTTTGCAATAGTTGCGCCCTTCCATACGGAATAGCGACTCTTTCTCGCTGTAAGGAGCACAAACATTTACTATGGGGCCTTTATGTCCTACAGAGAGCCACAGAAATGCCAAATGTGTGTATTGTTCCTTCTTGTAGTACACTCACCTACCATAGTGTATGTTTTAACTGTGGCCTTCCGACGACCACGACAAGATTACACGAAGAACGCCTTGTTCGTTTAGATGCAAAGGAGTTGGCAAAGGTGGCGGATTCCGTGAAATACCTGGAAGCTAATGAATTCTCAGTTCGATGCGCCGCAGTGGACAAATATGCAGCTGAAGAAGTAGAAAATTTATTTCGAGTATTGTTCCCACGGTTTCAGGAGGTTCGTGCCTTTCCTACATTGAACTCTTTGGTGGAAGCGCAGGATTTGTTGCTCTCTGTTATTTCTTCAACGGTGGCGTATGAATACGGAAATTTCCCAAGTCTCACAATGTCCCTTTCTGACGTACCCTATTCCCGTTTACTAAAATTGATACGCACCAGCCCACGCTATTCCGTATTTGAGGCCCCTGGAAAGGTCAAATTTGTATCATTTCCAGGAACACATGATTATCGCACGTTTAATGTCAACATGCGTTGTGGACGAATAAAACAACAGGTATGGTCGCGCCTCGTTGATGGGTGG